AGTTCTCTGATGTTTAGTTTCTGTGGAAGAATTGAGATTTCTGTGGTCATAGGAAAATAGTAGAATTTGAGTTATGGATTTCATTTGTGTGATTTTTAGGGATTTTTGAGTTACGAGTTATGAGTATTTTTTTTTAGTTTAGTTTAGCACTTTTGAGAACTTTGCATTTGTTGCTTGCAGTTAGGTCTTGCGTGAAGTTGTAATGTCCTGAAAGCTCGTTTTCTTGTAAATACTTGCACTTCATGGTGGCACTTGACCTCTTACACCGGGAAAACAGGAACTTGTTATCTGAGAAAACTATTGTTGTATCTTTTTCATTGTGTTGGTTCAGGATTGTAACGTTTCAGTCAGCGCACTTTTCTTTCCGAGATAAGAGATCTTATGTTCTCTTTCAACGTGTCTGGAGGTTTGCTTGATACGTAAAGTTTGAGTCTGTCATTCATAATACAGCGCTTTTCTCAGCTTACATGGACGCGGTAAAGAGTTACTTTGTTTCTTTTGTTTGGGTGGAGGTGTTGCTGAAGGCTGCTACTTAGGTTACTATACAACGTTTTGGAAGAGTCTGATGCAGAATAGATCTCAGTTTTTGCCTAAAATTGGGGGGTTTGTTTTGAACACTTTTTTTGATTTGTGATATTTTATTTAGTGTTCTAGTAACGTGCTTCAGTCCAGCTTTGATTGATTTCTTTGACTAGTTGAAATTTTTTTTTGTGGACCTAATGGATTTTTAGAATTACTGAAATTTTTTTGGTGTTGTCTTACTAAGGGGACTTAAGTTTGGTGTTGTTACTCACTAGTGTTTACCGTGAGGTTTGAAATTTTTAGCGACACTTCACTCTTGCTGGTTGATTTTTTTTTTGGCTTGATTTGAATTACAGTGAAATATTTTTGACTTGATATGGTTTAACATAATGACTATTTGTGTATTTGTTTAGGTATTGCAGTTTAAAATTTTTTTTTTTTTTTAAGTATCACTGATCTCATTGCTCATTTGAATTATGTACGAAATTTTTACAGTTTAATTGTATTTTCATTTTATGTGTATATGTGTATCTTGGTAGTATCTGTAAATTATTTGGCCAAACGTTATTTTGTATATGCATTAGGTTGTATTATTATTATTATTTTTGTGTGTTTTTGGATAAAATTCTAATTGGTATTTGCACAGCGTATTCGTTATGTTCATTCTCGGAATTGATTTTGGTTGGATTGAATTTTTGGACAATCACGTTTTCTTTCTTTCTGATTTTTGTGTGGGGTATTTTCGGCTGGTTCCGAGGTTCCTTGTGTTGTAACGTTCTTTTCTTTTCTAATGCTTGGCCCTGATCAGGCCGCTTTTGTTCTTAGACGTGATTGTTTGGGATTCATTCCTGGAAGTTATTCAATTTCGTAGTACTTAAGGGGATCTTTACTCTTTTTTTTGAATACGTTCATGTGACATATTTTAGTTGGAATTGTTTGAATTATTAGTGTGTTTATTTTCTCAGGAATGTATTTTATGTATCTGCGGCGCGTTAATTATCTTATTTTTATTTATTTTTTTTTTTGTTGTGAACAATTGGATTAGATTATTTCTTTCTTCGGGTGTGTGTATCCGAACACATTCAGTGGCTTATCTATCGTAAGGGAAAAATTGAAAGATAAAGTCTTCTTCAACTTTGAAAGAGTGATTGTTCTTCCTTGGTCGAAGGTGAGACGTAGGAGGGTGAAATCTGGTTTCTTTTAAGGTCAAGTTCCTCTACTAAGGAGTATTGTGGTGCTGAGTTCACATTCCGGGGTTGGTTGCTTTCATTTTCTCGCGTTGAAGGCTGCAGGGGGGAGTTGCTTAACACAATGATTTCTAACTACAGGGTTTTCCCTCGCTTGCATTGACAACTCCGTACTCATTTAATGTACTCCATGATTGTGCTCAGCAGAAATTGTCACAATAGTAGAATGTGCTCGACCCTCAGGTGAAATTGTTTACATTAATGGACTGAAAAGAATGAATAGATAAATAAACGTTCAGGAATGTGGCCACACAGAGACTGCAACACTAGTGTGATGTAATGAACTGAAAAAAAAAAAAAAAAAAAAAAGAGAAATTCTTTTTGTCATTATTGATTGATCTTAGACATATTTTGTTTGTGATTAACGCCTTATTTTTATTTTTATTTTTGTATGTGTTCTGAATATTTCTAGGTTTAATTAATTAAGTGATTTAATTGATGTTTTTGATTAATTGTTTTTGATGATCTTCCTTGAGTATTTTAATTAGTAATTGCTTTGATTAATCTTGTTGTTTTACTTGCACATTTTGGACTTGAAATTTAATGTGTCAGTAACGTCACTGTTACCAAGGAGTCGTGTGAAATATTGTTACATTATGTTATCCTTTAGCCTTATTGCACAGTATGAGTCATGGTATTTCAAGAAGTGTCTGTCTGCTAAATTTTGGTAAACCAAAATTTAATTCCTTAGGGGAAAGGAATGTTATGTAGAGAAATTATCTGATAGCGTTATAAAAAATTAGGTGAATGATTTTATGATTTATGGAAATCTTAATTTTTATTTGATTATGAATTATTTATTTTAAGGCTTTAATTTTGGGGAAAAACAGATGCTTCTGGAAATATTATTTAGTTTAAAAGAGTATTATTTATTTTCTTTATTTGCAAATCTTGTACAAACTTTTATTCATTGTGAAAGAAGCAGGGAAAGGGAGGCAATTTTTGCCAAGTCATGATTTCGCGCGCTTTGTCCTTTAGAATGTTCGAGAAAGAATTTTCATTGTTAGTTGACCTTAAGAGAGGAAAGTACGTGACGGAAAGGTCAAAGGTTGCTACTTGTCTTTCAATGTAAGTCATTCAGGTTTTTGGCGATTGAGGGTCCGGTTGTTGGCTAAGTGAAGAAGGGCGCGCATGCGCGATCACCCTTTTTTCCGCATTCTGGAGTTGAAAACGAAGATTTTGCCATAATTAAGGGGGCGATAAGTGAAGCCATAGTGGGAGCCCGTTTTGTGAAGGAGACGAAGGAAATTCGAGTTGGATTCACTTTTTGACTCACTCTCGGACTGACTCGCTGATTTTCGGGCTTGCTGGACTTACGAGCTTGCTGGACAAAATGTAATTACGAAGAGAGATGTTTTCCGGCAGGGAGCGGCAAATATGCTCCCCGGCCGCGTTTGGTTAAGAGGCGAGACTCTCTTACTTTTTGACTCTCTTACGCACTCACTCTTGGACTCGCTGACTTTCGGGCTTGCTGGACATGTGGACCTTGCTCTTGAAAACTGGCTTGAAGGAAATTCGAGTTGGATTCTCTCTCTTACTGACTGGCGGGTGGAACTTACTTGGGACGTTACTCGTGAAGCTTGCTCTTGGGATGAGTAAGAACAGGCGAGCCGTAATTGCCTAGAAACAACGTTTCTGACCTGAGGCTGAAAACCCTCTTCCTTGCGGCGTGCTGGTAAAGAGGCGAAATTTGAACGAGTTACCTGCGTGTTGACATAGGACTTTCAGGACCAAGCGGATAGCCGTCCTGGGCAGCAGTGCTCCTGTCTCTGTTCTACAGTGGTGAAGTGGAGTCTACATTTTTAGAACCAGTGTCAAGATGAGCCCGGCTGACATCAACGCTTGATAAGATAAGAGTCCTCCACTTCAAGATGTCCCCTAAGATAAGTTTATTTTTTTTTTTTTTTGGTGTGTTTGAACTTTAGGCAAGCTTTTCAAAAACGTCCTTAGCAGTAAAAAACAACATCAAATCTAAAATTTAACTCTCAGGCCTTAAATTGTTTCCCTTTCCTTTCTTTTAAATCACCAGACAAACCTTAAGTTTTTTTATGAATTTAAATGAACAGACTCTCAGATGAGGTTAAGATTTTTCTTATTGTGTTGTAATTGAATAAACTGATATTTTTGGAATCTGGAACCTCTTACAGTATGTTTTCTTTATATATTTAATATGAACTTTTCCTTTATATCTTGTATATGTTTTATGTTTTCGATCCTCTCACGGCGCGGTCCCGGAATGCATTTTTTTCACAACGCAAAAATGCTGTACACGTTTCACTATACAATCACTACCTTTCACGGCAAGTAGTTTCATATTTAACATTTAACATATAGGAATTTCAGATATAACATGGTACCCCTGAAGTAAAGCTATTTAACCTTGAAGTCGAAACTTTCTTCTTCATAACATTATCTGTTATCTTCGGGTGAAGATGAAACCACTACTTCATGTGATTTTCAAAATAAACTTCTGGGGAAGATGAAACCGATACTTAATTCAATTTTCATTATAACCAAACTAACATAAACAAAAGACTCACCTGGTCTTTTTAATTAGCTTTAATTAACAAAACACAGTTAAGATAAATCATTACAATTAAGGGTGTTATAATTACACATTTAAGTTACAAAGTAAATCTTAGGGAACAGCATGCTTAGTCCATGACTCCATCGATCGAGGGCTATAGTCTTTTTTTGGTTGATGTTTGTTCCAGTGGCCGCTAGGTGGCGCTCTTTATGCTGTGGGGTTACAATGAGTACTTTTTTTGATAGTTAGGAAAAAAAGATTTTTGTATTCCAAGTGTAAAAATTATAAATAATTTGCTAGTAACTATTTTACCTTAACTATATTGCATGTCTTTCATATTATACTTTGTATGACATTAAATATCTTAGGCTGTCATATTCTTTTTGACTTAACAGAATAAAAGAGAAATTAAAAAAAAAAAAAAATAACATAACATAACAGCACACATCAACGAGATCTTTATTGAAAATCTTTTTATTCGATTCAAATGTATGAAACTACTTTAATGTTTGAAGTAAATTATCATCCATAATTAGGGTACAAAATGGATGACTTTGTGAGAAACAATAAATAGGGAGCCGTATTATCAGCTGTCGACCCAGTTGCCGTTAAAGATCTCTGGTTACAGCCCTGGCTAAAAGTATTCGTATTGTTTTATATACGATTTTTTAGATATTTAATTGATGGTTTCTGTTTATATTTAGAACAGTTTCTACTCTTCATATGATACATATTGGAGAAATTGTACCCAACTGCGGGCTGCCTACTGCATGTAGTTCTGGAACATTTGCAGTTCACATATATACTGGTAAAGATCATAGAGATGAACCAAGGCTTTGTGTTGATGGAAAATAGTATGTAAATAGTTCACTTTTTTTTAAATGTTTTTGTGGAAAATAATAATAATAATAAATAATATTATGTTTCCTGAAAATGAGATATATTGTTTATGTTATGTTAGAGAACTATGAAATGTTGGAGAAATTTGTATGTTGTATTAAACTTGAGATAAGTCATATAGTGTTTCTAATGCGTAGGCTTATTATTATCATTAATAATCTATAGTCTGTAGTCTCTATAATCTTAACCACTTATCTCACTATCCATTGTCTTTATATTAAGGTTTTCCCTTTTCATTCTTACAACTGCAGAATTCAGGATAACTGCATTCATAAGTTGTAAACAGAGCTTTGCATTGCTTTGAGATATTGCATATTTTTATAAGTTTCCTTGAAATTATTTTGCTTTGTTTTATAGTAGTATGCCAAAAATTAAAAGAAGCCAGACCTGAAAAAGAAATACAAAAGCTTCTTCAAGAGCTTGAAAACTACACAGCTGGGTATAAAAAATGGATCTGAAAGTGAGCATTTGAATATTGAAAGAATTCTATATTTAGTGACAGATTCGGTAAATTACAACGATGAAGAAACTGGTTTCATAGATGAAATTTCTCTTGGTGAAATATTTGAATGACTTGAATGTTAATGACAAGGTAAACATTTAGAATTTTACTGGTATAAAATATAAAATAAAGGGCCATGATTCTCAAGCTGTGAAGGAAATAAAATTTTTCAAAAGTGTTTTGCAATGAAATATTATTGAAAAAATTGTCAAGGAAACAAATTATTAAGCGAAAAAATACTAGAGCTAAATTCAAGTTTTAGCAGTGAATTAGAAACAAAAAAGCATATAATTACATGGAAGAATGTTAATGAAAATGAATTGCTGAAGTTTTTTTCACTGACATTGCTGATGAGGCGTATTCAAAAAGAGAAGATAAAATATTTCTGGATGTCAGATGAAATACCTTTTTTCTAAAAAAGTATGTACAGAGATAAATTCCTACAGATTCTTAGTTTCCTGCACTTTGAAGATAACATGTCACTACCAGATAGAAGTGATCCTAATTACACTGAAGTGACAAAAGTCATGGGATACCTCCTAATATTTTGTCGATCCTCCTTTTGCCCAGCGAAGTGCAGCAACTCGATGTGGCATGGACTCAACAAGTCGTTGGAAGTCCCCTACAGGAAAATTGAGCCATGCTGCCTTTATAGACATCCATAATTGTGAAAGTGTTGACGGTGCAGGGTTTTGGGCATGAACTGACCTCTCGATGATGTCCCATAAATGTTCGGTGGGATTCATGTCGGGCGATCTAGGTGACCAGATCATTCGCTGGAATTGTCCAGAATGTTCTTCTAACCAATCGCGAACAATTGTGGCCCGGTGACATGCCGCATTGTCATCCATAAAAATCCCATCGCTGTTTCAGTACGTGAAGTCATAAATGGCTGTAAGTGATCTCAAAGTAGCTGAAGGTATTCATTTCCAGCCAATGATCGGTTCAGTTGCACCAGAGGACCGAGTACATGCCATTTAAAATCGCCCAGACCATTATGGAACCACCACCAGCTTGAACAGTGCCTTGTTGACGACTTGGGTCCATGGCTTCGTGGGGTCTGCCGCCACACTCGAACTCTACCATCAGCTCTTACCAACTGAAATCGTGACTCATCTGACCAAGCCACGGTTTTCCATTCGTTTAGGGACCAACCGATATGCTCACGAGAGTCGCTGCAGGCGATGTCGTGCTGTCAGTAAAGGCACTCGAGTCTGTCTTCTGCTGGCATAGCCCAAGGAAGACAAATTTCGCCGCACTGTCCTATGGGACACGTCCCTCGTACATCCCACATTGATTTCTGCAGTTATTTGATGCAGTGTTGCTTGTCTGTGAACATTCACAACTCTACGCAGACGTCGCTGGTCTCGGTCGTTAAGTGCAGGTGGTCGGCCACTGCGCTGTCCATGGTGGGATGTTATGTCTGAAATTAGATACTGAAACACTGAAATTGTATCATTCTATAACAGAAACATGGGATTCATTGACTGAAGTGACCGAATTGCAGATAGTTTTACATTCCAAAGGAAAACTTTAAAATGGACAAAAAACTTCTTCTAATCATTCAATTTAACAATTTTAAACTACTTTATTTTATATAAAGTGATAACTGCAGACATATTCACAGATTTTAGAATAAAATCTTATAAAACAACTCATGAATAATTCAGAAGTTTTCTTCAGCTCTGCTTGGGTGTCAGATACCATTTCGTTGGCCGGGCACTTGCCCATTGAAAACAAAGGTCCATGGAGATGTGCTGTTTGTTAGAGAATTGGGATAAGAAGGTGATGAGTGTATTCTTATGAAAAATGTGATGTAGGGTTCTGTGTCACTTGCTTAAAAAATTTCCACTAAAGCAAATGAGAATATTTTGTTCAAACATATAAAAAATTAATGGTTATACCATTTTAAAACTGAATTTGTGCATTCTGTAGTAACCTGCTCGGTATGTCTTTTTTGTCTTTAAACAATGATAAATGGTTCCTCTACAGGACACAAAATTATGAAAAGAGAAACCACATGTATTTTCAAATAATCATAGTGAAACTGTATATACATGTTCTACCATGTGAAACCATATTTCACACATTCTACCAACATATGTGTGTATACACATGAACCTATAATTAAAGAATCTTATTTCAAAGCAGTTTACAAACAAAACTAGTGATCAGAAAATTGTGAAATTTTTGTCGCGGACTTGAGAAAAGAATGAAGATATGAGAATTTCTTTCAGAGAAAAAGAAATAGTTACAAATAGCATCACCAGAGGAACTGGAGTCGAGCTTCAAAATCATGTGGAAGCAATAAAATTTACAAACTTGCAGACCTCCATGGTTACACATATACTCTGAAAGTGTACCTTGGAAAAGATTCTTATGAGTCAGAGAAACTAGTGAAAGTTTGTAAGGATAATATAGGAGAATATTTTGCAAGATTTTATGGGCAGTTGAACATGGTCTGCCCAGTGCCTCTGCTATACGCCAGACACTGGTGCTAGCCTGAAAGTTTGAAGATGGGTCTTCTATGACCTGAAGCACAACCTCCTGTATTGCTTCTGCAGAAACAGGGTTTCTTCCTCTTCCAGGGCAAACAGAAAACGATCCTGTTTCTTCAAATTTCGTTACCATTTTCTGAAAATTTTTAACATTCATTGGACCTCTTAGAATCCCCTGCAAAGTCCGAAAATTCCGTAGAGCAGCTACTGCGGAATTACTGTTTGGGTAAAACAGTTTTACTGAAGAGCGTGATCTCGTAAACTTATCGACATTGTGGGCAAACACATCGAAAACAAATCCTCTGCTAATGTTTCCAGGTTTTGGAGCAGTTGCTTCATAATGTCGACAAAGATTTACATTTTTACTTCAGGCTTTCAGTGTAAAATGCCCTTAGGTGACACTGTTTGTAACTAATTTTGTTTCCGCTGAAAAGCATTTTCATCCCTTCATAAAGTCCGTCCCAAAATTTGACAATTTTCTGGTCACTAGTTTCACTTTGTAGATGGCTTTGAAATAGGGTTCTTTAATTATAGAGACCCAGTATATTAATGTATAAATATATGGTACTTACGTATTAACGCCACCACAGCTGCAGATTTGACGGTTTTTAAGTGCTGCCAATCTACACCTAAAATTTTTGTGACAAATCATATGCATGTAATTTTTCCAATTTATAACAGTTTTATCCGATAAATCAAGTTGCTTTTCACAAAATTTAATCGACATCAGCAGTATTTGAATCTGAACCAAATGGAGTTCTGCTTCCTTCAAACCAATTGTCTAAGTCCCGTTTGCTGGTCACACTGTTTTAAATTACATTTTCAAAACATATATTTACCAAAATAAAGTTTCATATCATGCAAATTGGTACCTTTTCATTTTTTTGGTAAAATATTTCACACCTGAAAAAATAAAATTGCATCTTCATCTGTGTTTGCCAAATCCCAAAGACGCATTTTCATAGCACTAAAAAATGGCTTAAAAATCAGCAAACGACAAAGCAAAAAGGAATCCAAAAGACAACTGCATGCAAACAACAGGATTGCTCTGTTCAGTGCAATTTCTGCTTCGGTGGCGTTAATACGTAAATACCAAATATACTTTTGTTTTTTAATGTAAAACATATTTATATTTATTGACATAAGATGATTTGAACATTTATATTTGTATATATTTATATATTTCTAAAATGTATCCTTTATGCTTAATTTTTTCAGTATTTCAATTGTGATATTCTTATTTCAGCATTTTATCCAAAGATATCAATAATGGTGGTAGAGGGGTAAATGCTGTTGTTATTGATAACATGACGAGAACAGTCATTCGTGTGAATCACTTTGATACATATGAAAAAGGTCTGTTATTTCTCAGTGTATCTAATTTTTAATATTTAATAGGGTCACATGAATGAATTCTAACTGAATGCTTATTTGTCTCGTGTATATGTCTTTGCTTAATGCAGGATTGACATACAGTAAATTGCATAAGTATTATATTTAGTCCTGAAATAATTTTTTTGTTTGATTATACAGTAGACTAACCTATTGCTTTTATACACATTTAGAAACTTTATGAGCATTTATATTAGCATGAAATGTTGAGTTTTTATTGAATTTATTCTTGACTATTAATTGAAATCCTTTTTTTTTTTTTTTTTTTTTTTTTTGTCTTTAAGAATCTACACCCTTAGAAACAATGTTGCTGACTTTGAGGCCTGGAGACATTGTAATCCTATTGACATTTGATGAGCCATCTCGAAGGTAAGCATTTTCCCAGTTTTTAGTTTTGTGTTAGATATACATGCTAAACCATTTTGTTTAAGTCAGCAGTTTTTATGTTAAGTATCACATTTTTAAACTTTTTGTAACTGTTGTGCATTTATATTTTGCCATTTACGTATAAATGTTTACTTTAAAGTTTAGAAGAATGTGAGGAAAAGAAAACATGTGTTTATTTTATTTATTCTAAATGTTTTAATATTTAACTTTTTCATGACTGCACTGCATATTTTTGTTTCATTTGTAATTAAATAATATGGTGGATTATGTGAGGAATGATGCTAAAATACTGGCAAAGTGCATTTTGAATTTATTTAGATTTATTCTGAATTTTTAAACTTTGTAACTTGAATTGAATATGGTGTCTCTGTGTGTTAGTAGTTTTATACAGTTATATTTACTAAATTAATAATATTTGGTTCTGTAGGTATTATCATATATCAGAGTTTCTGAAACTGTAGGTCGCGACTATGGGACCTGCAGCAGGGAGTCACCAAAAATTTTAGCAGTTTTGATATTTCTTTAACGTATTACAATAATTTTACAACTACCAAATAATTTTACACAATATATCTGAAAATAGATAAAGATGAGACAATTCGGACAAAGAAAAAAATGGAAACGTTACGATGCATTCTTTTTATAATATCATTTTTATAATACAGTCAAAAGTCATTAATCTGGACTCGTCGGGACTTCGGCGATTCTGGATTATCGATTTTTCCGGATTATAGATCATCAGTTTAAATCTGGTAAGATGGCATGCAAAAATTGTAAAATTAAAAATGTAAAACCGTAATTTATGAAATAAAGAACATTATGATCTAAAAGGTATCAAAATTTACAAAACAAAAAAAAAAAAAAAAAAAAAAAAAAAAAAAAAAAAAAAGGCTAATATTATTCTTTACTTTATTAAACATTTCTTTCAATGTAAGTTGTTTCGTTTTGTGTGATAATACTTTCTCTTTAATTCTATAAACAGACTTAATTTCTTATTTCTTGTTCAGTTACAAAGTTTCGCTGTTCAAGTCCTATAATTGCTGTTTAGAGAATACCGACTAATTTGTCAATCGAAATTTTTTCTTTTTCAATAACCTCTGTGATGACAAGGAATTTGATTTAAATCATATCAAAGATGGAATACATCAAGATGAAATACTACATTTAGTAAGGAATTATAAGCCAAATAAAATGAAAACATCTGCCCTGAAGATTAGGATAGTGCTGACAGATCAAGTTCCAATTCATTGCGCGCAAAAGCATCTGCCCTGAAGATAAGGATAGTGCTGACAGATCAATTTCCAATTCATTGCCCCCCCCCGCTGCAGAACAGCGTGAAATTGATAAACAGATTTCCGAATGGTTAGGTAATTTTTTTTTTCAGCAATTCCACTTTTGTTTAATGGACTTCGAAACATTTTTTCGCTTTGTAGATCCTTTACATATTAGTAAATGTATATCGGAAATTCTATTTGACATAATTGAAAGTTCAAGCTTTCTAACAGTCTGCAAAATTTTCTCTAACAGTCAGCAAAAAATAATAACCCGGGGATCCAATTCGAAGATTAAGGAACAACGCAATCTGCAACATTAACTGAATTAAATAATTTTAGCCAAAGAAAGTCTGTGATGCTTTGATTTTCTCTTAGCTTATACCCTTCGTTATACGTTAAACGTGCATGCGTAAACGTATTTTGCGCATGCGCACACGCATATTCGCAGCCGTAAAGGTCAATGCGATGCATGCGCAGAAAGTTTGTAGCTTTGAGGTCCGGATTATGGGTGTCCGAATTAACGACTTTTGACTGTATCATTATTATGTTCATTTTACTTGTTTTGCATGTGATGCTGTCATTTTGTATTTAAAATTTTCACATTGTTCTATGACTTAAAATTAGAAGTTAAAGTTGATGACCTAAAACTGCAATAGTATATTACAGTACAAGTGGAAAAATTGACAGTTTCACTCGCACGTGTGTAGGATTTGTGCAATGTGTATGGGGTCCCACAAAATTTTCGTAAATATTATGGGGTCCTGGGGTCACGAAAAAATTTTAGTGATATAAAGGTGTTGCTACTGAAAAAAGTTTAAGAAGCCCTCTTATATAAGTATAAATATTGATGTTTATTTGGTGGTCGTGTGTGCTTAATGCATGATATAATTAAAGAAAATAAGAATAGACAATCTCTTGTAACAAAAGAATATATCGGAACGCCACAGTACTCCCCCCCAAGTACCATCGGTACGTTATAAGTACTTTGGGTTAAATTTAACCTTTCTTCCAGATCTGGTAGTTTTAGGTTGCTCTTTAACGGGATGTAAGCTTTCTTCCGGGAGTGATGTTGATGAGGAAGTTGTTGGATCTTGCATTAGAAATGCTGGTTTGAGACGATCGATTCCAATCACTGATTGTTTGCCATTGCAGATGATGGTGAAATGTTTCGGTGTTTCGTTTGACAACTTTGAATGGAACCATCATATGAAGGTGTTAAAGTTGGCTTAATTGCATCGTTGCGCACGAATACGTGCGAAGATGTCTCAAGCGCAGGATGTACAAAATAGCTTGGCTGGTTATGCGAAGATGCTGGGGTTGGCGAGATATTGCTCATGGTCTCACGTAAACGTTGAAGGAATGTTGGAGGGTCGATAACTGGAGTAGATTCTGGGTGAAAGAATTCACCTGGCAGACGGAGGGTTGCACCATATAACATTTCAGCACATGTGCTACCAATGTCTTCTTTGAATGCTGCGCGAAAACCAAGCAAGACTAGGGGTAAGGCTTCTGTCCAGTGTGTGCTACTGTGGCACTTCAGACCTTGTTTGAGAGATCAGTGAAAGCGTTCCACCATCCCATTTCCAGATGGATGGTATGGTGTTGTGCGAATATGGCGAATGCCAAGAAGAGAGGTGAGGGATGCGAACAAGTGACATTGAAATTGTCGGCCTTGGTCAGTAGTGATGGTGGTAGGCATGCCAAATCTTGAAAGCCACTGGGAGATGAATGCTCGAGCTACAGTTTCAGCGGATATATTTTCAATAGGAATGGCTTCAGGCCATCTTGTGTACCGATCAATACAAGTGAGGAGGTAAGTGTAACCATTTGAAGGAGGCAATGGGCCAACCAAGTCTAAGTGCACATGATCAAAGCGTCTTGCTGGAAGGTTAAATTGTTGAATGGGGCTGTGAGTGTGACGGGATACTTTACACCGTTGACATCTAATACATGAACGAAGTCCATTCTGTGACTGTCCTTGATTCATTGCTGGCCAGACAAATCTGTCTGCGATCAGCTTTTTGGTGATGCGGGTTCCACGGATTCCAGGATGTGCCAAATTGTGCAAGGCATTAAACACTTCACGTCTAAAATTGACTAGGAATATAGAGGAACAGTATTCTATTGTTCTCTATGTCACAGTAAATTTTAAGCGTTGGATCAATGTGCAGCGGTTTGTAACTGAAGGGAGGTTTGTGGATTTGAGATTAGGTTCTTGAGTTCCTCATCATGCAATTGAGCTTTTGCAATTTCAGAGAAAATCTGGGGTAGTGAGGTTGATATTGTTTATCCCGAGACAAGGCATCAGCGAACACAATTATTCAGTACCAGAGACATATCTGATATCTGTACTAAACTGGACGAATGAAAATCCAGATGTCGAAGCTGACGAAGGAGAACATGAGTCAGAGTTTTTTCTAAAAGCGAAGGTTAATGGTCGATGATCGGTGAAAATGATGAAAGTCATGTCCTTCCAGAGTTGTGCCAGAAGTATTTAACAGCACAGTACACAGCAAGTAGCTCTCTGTCATATGTGCTGTATTTCCTTTCTGCAGTAGTGAGTTTTCTGGAAAAGAATGCCATTGGGGAAAGTCCTTTAGTGGTATGGGCTTGAAGCACTGCTCCTATGGCCGTGTCAGATGCATCTACCATTATAGAGAGCTGATCACTAGGTGAGTGATAAGAAAGTGTGGCTGCATTTGTCAGATCGTGTTTGCATTGCACGAATGCTGCAGATGCAGATTCAGTCCAAGGGACAGCTCGTTGATCATTTTTTTTTGCTATTCTTCAGAAACTCATGTAGGCAGGTTTGTGTTTTTGCGGCATTTGGCAGAAAGCGTCGGTAGAAATTTAACATTGTTTGAAAACGCTTCAGTTCAGAGATGGTTTTGGGCTGGGGTAGGTCGTTAATTGCTTTGACTCTTTCCGGTAAAGGTTTGACTCCATTCTGAGTAATAAGACATCCAAGAAAGGAAACTGAGGGTTGACCAAGTACACATTTGGATGGATTTAGTTTTAATCCATGATCTTTAAGGCGAGTGAAAATCTGATGCAGATGTTTAAAATGTTCTTCCGCATCTGTAGATGCAACCAGGATATCATCAAAGTATGGGGTGCAGAAATCGAGACCAGACAGTACTTGGTGTATGAAACGCTGAAATGTTTGGCCAGCATTGCGAAGGCCAAATGGCATATATAAGTACTCAAGAGACCAAATGGTGTAGTCATTCTGCGGTCTTGGGCACATCTTCAGCATGCACTGGGATCTGATGATATGCTCTGGCAAGATCGAGGGTAGAAAATATTGTTTGTTCCATGAAAAAGATGGGTACAGTCTTGGATATGTGGGGACTGGGATATCTGTCAGGGACTGTGATGCATTAAGTCGACGATAATCTCCACAAGGCCGCCAGTCACCATTAGACTTTTTTTAACCATGTGAAGTGGACTGGCCCATGGACTTTTAGATGGGCGAATGGTTCCCTGTGCTAGCATGAATTCAAAATTCTTTGCGAGCAGCTTTTAGCATCTCTGGAGAAAGACGACGAGGCTTGGAAAATACAGGTGGGCCATGTGTTTCAATGTGATGATAGACTTCTGGCTGATGAGTTGCTGCCCTGATTTGGATGGTTTTAAAATGTCAGGGAATTCTGCTAATAACCGATGAAACCGTGTGCTGCCTGATATTAAACACTTATGTTGGTAGGT